AGAAAAAGAGAAAAGAAAAATAGGACCTATATGAACATGACAGGCCATAAAGACATGCTAATCTGTTTAACAACCACTACCAACTTTCATGCACTAAGAACCATCATGCTCATAGCTATGTGAGCATATCAGAGGTGATATGTGCCCAGGTTGAAAGTGAATCGAGAAAAAAATTATAACCCAAGATATTGTATGGTCTATAATTAGTAAATGCTTTGCAGCTTGGAATATATTATGTAGAAGTTTTAACATGCGATGCGAGTAATGCTTTATGTTGTCAACAAGCAAAGTGCAGGAACACAAGCAAAGAAAATCTCTAGAGCTAGGTTCCTTGAAACTTGTTAATCTGGTCAGACATGACAACATAGAAACAATTATTTAGGTGGCAAAGTTTGCACTCACTTCACTTTCATCATCCAGAACTCTTTCCATGAGATATAGATCACAGTATTTTGTTATCTCCAACAGTACTTCCAAAACTGAGGACCTCACAGTTGCGCCTTTCTGCCACAAGTAAAGTAAAATCACATAAATCCAAGTTTGCAGACCAAAGCATGAATTTTATTGAAAATGAACTATTAGTACCTGAAGCTCCTCTGGAGTGCTTTCATCAAGGATTACTCCAAGCAATCGACACGTCACCTGTGCATGGAATTCACGTGAAGCATAAGTTGAGTGAAAAAAAATAAAGACGGTCAACCGCATTACTTTCAAATCTTCAATAGCTAACTCTATGAACCCCTTTTTATGAATTTTTAGGAACAAGTACCACTTTTTATGAACCCTACTACATATTAATAGAAATGAAACAATGAGAAAAAACAAATATCAGAAGTGGCTTATTGGAGTACCAAACAGTATAAGGTAGCTACCTTTCTTGCTTCGCTCAATTTCTGCCTAACTATTTGCCCCAAGGTTGGCTGGAAAAGGAAGGAACAAAAGAAGAAGAAGATTTAGTACAAACTAGTTCAAAACAAGCAACACGTAATCGAAATGGCAAACAAATATAATTCAGCACTTACCTTTACCGGTTGGAAAAGCTCGTCAACGACATTTTGTGCCCTCACATCCTCTGATGGCGTTGAAACTCCAGACGGCATAAATGTTGTATTCGAATGAGAACTGTTGCCAGAGCTACTGGCTGCAGGAGCCTGCCTTTTCGGTTGTCTTCTTTGGGGCCCACTAGGTGTTCTCAAAAGCCTCCATGTGAAGACTATCGCCACTGCAAGCCCAGCAACAGCCCCAACTGATCGTGAATTCTGATAACATTCCGTTCAAGTCATTAGCCAACCCAGTCTATGACCAATTTTGTCCATTAAAATTATTTAAAAAAAAAAAAGGCGTAATGGGGCCTTTGATTTATGGCAGTGGCATATCAACCATACATGATACTTTTCCAGTTGGTAATGACAAAGACTTAATTCCATAAGATTATAGTTTCAAGACCAACTTTCTCCACTATAAACCATTAGCAACTACAGTCTTTTACTACCAAAAAAAAAAATCCCTACAATCTTTAACCATTTATCAACTTTTCAAAGTGAATTTCACAGGGGTCTAGTTTCAGTTTTAATTCTTGAATATGTTTCCTTCTTCTCAAAATTCCAACATCAAGGAATCAAATTTCCATCCCCAAATAGCTAAAAATTTCCAATTACGTACTAATTACTATCTACACATCAAATGTTCCCAACCAAAAAGCTAACCCTAATCAAATCCACAATTGAAAATTGCGAAATCAATGCAAAAATCAAATTAGAACATCAAAACTAACAAAACCCATTTGACAACCAAAGACTATAAGCGAAAAAGACGAGATCTTTAGGCATCAGATCCATGGAAAATAATAACCGAATTGAAAAAAAAAAAAAAAAAAAACAAGAAACGAAAAGGAGAAAGAACCAGATTGTGGAAAGAGATCGAGAAGAGATTGGACATCTTGACGGTGAGGAAGGCCCCGAAGCGCTTGATGAGCTGAACGAGCTCCTCTTTCGAAGACTCAGCCATGGCCGAACCGAATCGGAGAGAACGACGTCGTTTCGCGCAGAAAAGGCCAAAAGGGGGGTTTTGAATTCTCAGGCTGCTCAGCTAATGACGTCTTCTTCCTTCTTCGACATCGCTTATCAGTTATTACTGTGGCTGGCTGCGGGTTTCGAGGAAAGGGAAAAAAGAAGCCAAAAAAAAAAAAAAAGAGAAAAAGAAAAAGGAAAAACAAAACTTGTTCTTTGCGTCAACGAAGAGAGAGAGAGAGTGTGTGTGTGTTTTGGTTTGTTTAATGTGATTGTGGAATAGATTATATGAGCTTGTGTTTACTTTACCTTTTTCTTAACTGTTAAAGGCACTCGGTTAAGCTGTCGGCCCAAAAAGAGTTTTGCTTGCCCAACCTGTATTCACTTATTTAATCCATAATTTTATAATAAATACTAATATAATGAGACTTTTTCTGTGGTCTCTTACCATTTTTACAGGAAAAAAGTAAAGGTTAAAATATTACGGTTAAATAATTAACGTAATTTTTTTATTAAGTCGTAACAGTTATTATTTTGATAATTAAAAATTATTTTTAGACATATGACAATAAATCACTGTTATGTACTGTTCTAAACAAATATTTATACATGATCGTGCCTATCAAAAGAGAAAGACAGATATAATTCTTCACGAAAATATTATTTAAGTTTAAAACGGCAGTTAATTACGATAGAATGATTGATATTAACAGTAAACATGAGGTAGCTGTAGCAAAGGAAAAAAGCGTAGAGACTCTGCCTTATCTGATCTCTGAAGATGGAACAACTTCAGTCGTTTATTGATGTGTCTTTTAATATTTTTCATATAATTATTCATGACAGGTGTACATAACAGTCGTTTATTATTTATATTAGGCTTTCAGCCGGTTACAATTGGCACATGGGTCCGTTACAATAACATATAAAGGACTTATCCCCCTTTATAAATTGGGAGACTATAAACAACTCCATATAATGAATTTAAAAATGTAAAAACCGTGAAGACTTATCTGTATTTTTCACCGATTAGGAATTGTCCTTTTCAATAGCTGAGGAACTAAAATCTTCTTTAGACTTTGTTGTATTTGGTAACCTTCACAATTAAAGAATGTTGATTAAGAATATTGTTTTTTTTTTTTTTCGCCAATCAATTTGTTGCCCGTCGTTGTTCCTTTTTTTGTCGTTTTGTAACTGTAAGTCGTTTTAACTTATACTGTCGTGTTTACTAATTTTTCGTCGTTTTTTCAATGTGGTTCAAGTTTGGCATTCGTTTTTCTTTCGTTTCGTCCACCTTTTTTCAGCTAATAGTCATTTGTGCTCAGATGTTACTCCTTGAATGCCCGTTTGAGTTTTTCATGTTGATGTCGTTTTAGTTTTTTTTTTTTTTGTAAATATCGTATTATTTTAACTTTTATATGGAGTTTAATGTCTTTTTTTTTTGGCTGAAATATATGGATTTTGATGTCTTATTATTTTGAATAGTGTTTCATATAGTACTACAAAAATATGTAATGGATAGCACGAAATAATTTCTAGTCTAATATAAGAAATTGCCTTGTTTAAATTCCTTTTTCTGCTCATCGTCGTTGATCCATTTGTATGTCGTTTCCATTGTTGTCGTTTGTGACATTAGTCCTCCGTCGTTTAAGATTTTGTTGTCGTTTATTGTAATGTTGGACTTTTTTACATTAATGTTGCTTTACATATTTTACGTTGTTATAGATTCTTCTATTGTGTTTGGTTTATATATGTTTTTTAAATTTACGATATTGTTCTTTAGTTTTGTATTCTGAAAATTTATATATAAGGCGTCTTGAAATTTTTTTGAACTTTTTACTCGATAATAGAGGATTTGGTGTCATTTTATACGGTAAATTTAACCTTTTCCCAACAACTGTTGAGGTTTTTATTTGATTGTACATAAGAATACTTTTATATCTTTTAAAAAGTATTGATTTTCACATTTTAATAAACACATGGATTTTCCTATAGTTTCAAGTGTCAATATGTGTTTCCCCATATTGTCCTTATCTTGTTGCTTTTAACTCTTTTGTTCTTTCAAATTGTATTGTCGTTTTCTTGCCACTGTTGGTCTCAAAAATGTATACGTCTTTTACCATATGTTTCCCAACTTGTCCCTCAATTTTTGTCGTTTCAACACTTGGTGGTTATTTTCCCTCTTATTATAGTTTCTCCGGTCATTGTCGTTCCTCAAAGCAGTTGCCATTTGAAAATTTTTTGCCTTTTCCACGCTTATGTTGTTTTTAAGTTTTATTGTCGTTTCAAAGTTTTACGTTTTTTAAATTATTTTTGTCGTTTTTACATCATTTCTTTTTACAATTGTCGTGTTTTGGAAATGTTTTCTGCCGTTTTCTCATGTTTTGTCTCTGACCCATATATGTTGTCGTTTTATTTGAGGAGGGCATAATGTTGACTTCTCTCACCTGTGGCGTCCTCCGACAACCGGCGGCCATCTCCAATACGGGCGCCACCCCAAGTAAAATGACATATAAAAAGAGCAAATAACTTTTAAGAAAGGAGACAAATACCCCTTAAAAATGCAATAACTCTTTTAGTCAAATAACTATACCAACAAAAGTAAATTAATAAAAAATGATGGGTAAAAATCTAAATTCATGCCCTCTTAATAATTTTTTCTCATAACAAAAGTATAACCTGATCACCCTTGTCCTTCACGGATGTTGATTAAATCTTTGTACATCCAAAGCTGTAGAAGAAAATGCTCCAACCGATGCCCTTTATAATAAGCTGAAGAGAGCACACTTGTGACTAATTGCTATCTATAAAGGTTTTATCCTCACGTAATGAAATCGCTATTGACACGACAATATATGAGAACTGTCACATTGCAATGTGAAACTCAATTGTCCCATGTTATGTAATGATTGAGAAAATTTCAGACTTAAAATAATACAATTTTTATATTCAAGCTAATGATTTTTCTAAAAAATATTATGTGACTGAAGAATTTATGAAATTAATATTTATATTCCTAAATTTTGTAGTAGATTTCATATTCAGTTCATGTTTTCGATCAAGTGAATTCGATCGATAAATTCTCGCCGTACTTTAAGGCGGAATAATTTTCAGTATCATTATAGTTTGAGAATCATAATTTCAAGAATCTCCAAACACAGTATAGGTTAGCAGCGTACAAAAAAAACGCACTGACATTTTAAAGAAGAGAAAATCCTTAATTGCCAGACAACTAGGTTAAAGTCACAAGATAAAAACCCATAACAGAAGGGTACAATGTGAGCCCGGGAGTTGACACCGTCAGAAACAACGTCATTCCCGGGATAGAATGCAGAAAAGTTAAATTTAGAATTTGTTCAGTCTAGAATCAATTTCAAGACTTTAAACAGTTTAATATATTACGCGAGTAAGAATTTAATGTGATATCAAAGTAGTCGAGGATTTAACATTGAACTGTAAATAAGCAGTAGGAAAGGAACCGTCAGAAACTAGAATTCCTGTCGGCTAAGTACTTTCTTACAGTCAATATGATTTTTATCTGACTCAAAGGAAACTTAAGAGAGTGGACAAAAGTACAAAGGGTAGGATTTATTTTTCTCTCTCTCATTCTCCACTTGGCCGGCCATGTATAGTAGAAATAGAGCTAAAATTTGGCTAGTTGAGTATGCTAGAAGGTTACATGTTAAGGTGATGTGATGGTAGTGGTTAAAGGGGAAATCATGGCAAAATTTGCTTCTCCTTTTCTACTTCCATAACTGGCCAAGATTGGGGGAATTGAACCAAAAACTTGGTTGATTGAGAGAATTGATGTGGTGTTAAAAAAAAATAATTTTCAAGTTGCCTATAAAAGGAACCATTATAGCATAAGCTTCATTTTTTTTCTCCTCCCTTTTTCCCCACTCAAAATCCGGCCACACACTCCACTCTCTCTCAAATATTTTCTCCCACTCTCCCAATCTTGATCCACTAGCAAACCATAGAAGAAGAAGAAGGAGATCAAAGGGTCTAGGAGGAGACTAGTCAAGCATTCCCCCAAGGGTAAAGAAACTCAAGACCCTCTCTTTTTATGTTCTAGTAAAGTTTGAGATGTAGAACTATTCTTCTCAAATTTTCTTATACTCCTCTAGTTCCAAGCCATTAACAAACCTTAGAGGAAGACGAAGGTGATCAAAAGATCCTAGGAGGAGCCTAACCAATGACTTTCTTCAAGGGTATAAATTCTAAAACCTTACTCTCTATTTTCCATTCTAGTAAAGTTTAAGTTTGAGAATCCATTAATGTAAATTTGTGATTCTCAAGGAAATAAGTTGTAATATGGGTATGTGAGTTTTAAGTTAGTTTTGTGAGTTTTAAGGTTAGTTTGATTAAGCATTATGTAGTATGTTTACACTTGGTCAAAGTTTGCTATTTTGGGGTCAGAGGTAAAATTTTTCACTTAGTTTGAACACGAAAATGAGGACCGTAGAGGGAGATTTTTCAGTATTTCTAAGCTTGAACTTATAGTTCTCGATATTTTGAATGTTTTCTGTGACTATGACAAAACCCAGTTTTAACTCTAAAAGCAAGCTTAAAGCCATTTTTTTAAAAACGGACCAGACTATCCAACACAGTTTCAGGAAAAAATAGCAGCCACTATTTTTAGCCAAACGAGGCCTTTAGATGCTGAATTTCAGTTTTCTCGACAAACAACAATTTTGGATCTCGACGAGAGGAAGAACTTTCATGAAGAACAGATTTTCAAAATCTGAATCTAAGATATAGTAAAACGTAAATTTTTGAAACTGTGCAGTTTTTAACCAAAACAGTTTCAAAAAAAAACTGACAGCCACTGGTTCAACGAAACAGTTTTTCCAAAAAATGACAATTGTAGATCTCGATGAGATGAAGAATTTTATGAAGAATAAATTTTGAAATCCGACTCTAAGATGCAGTAAAACGCAGATTTTAGAAACTACACAGTTTTTAACAAAACAAAACTAAAACAGTGTCGGTTTTAACAAAAAGTCATCAAAGAAACCAAGATAGGATTTCAGTAAAATACAATGGCATTAAACCTCATTTTAACGAGAGTATTCGTAAAGAAAGTTTTCAAGAAAAAAATACTTTCTTTAAAGAACATAGTAGTTTATCGAGCGAATTATCCCAACGGGCACCCACGA